CCCACAGAGAGATTTTTAACCTCCCTTCTCCCTCCCCTTACCCTGTAACAAAGTCTCTGAACACAATGCTAGAAAAGAGCAGAACCAAAGGAGTCACTGTGGGGGATTCCCTCGGACACTGACCCCACGGCAGCCACACCCTATTAGGAGGAATATGGAGTCAGGAACTGGTTTTTCCTCTGTCTGATCCTTTTGTTGTTCACTGGAAAGTGATTCTGCCCAGGGATGCTGCAATACATGTGTCGGTGTGGATTAGATAGCTGGAAAGCTCTCTCCCCACTCATTTCTACCACTGCCCCTTTCAGTCTCTCCTTCCCCTGTCCTCTCTCCCTCCCCTCTGTGTTGGATTAAAAGTAATAATTAATACATTAATTATTTTTGGGAAAATATGGTACAGTACAGACCCCGGATTTGGCTTGTATTATTAGAAAGAAATATGTCTCTCAGCCAGGGCCGGCTCCAGCTTTTTTGCCGCCCCAAGCAACGAAAAAAAAAAAAGATAAAGCTGCGATCGGCGGCACTTTGGTGGCAGCTCTGCCACACCGCTTCATTCTTCGGTGGCAATTCGGTGGCCGGTCCTTCCCTCTGAGAGGGACTGAGGGACCCACCACCGAATTGCCACCGAAGACCTGGATGTGCCACCCCTTTCCCTTAGCCACCCCAAGCACCTGCTTCCTGCACTGGTGCCTGGAGCTGACCCTGCTCTCAGCCTGCTGAGTTTGTGCTAAGTGAAGCAGGCCTGTTAGTTTGCAAGGTCTGTGATAATTGTAGAAAAACATTCAGAGACAAAAAGTTTGTTCTAAAGGTGATAAGAGAACAGCAGTCTCCCTGAAGTCAGGAACAAGATTTGTTAATCCTCCACTTTTGCACTTCTATCTCGCTTGTTTTCTCTTCATGTACAACAAGTCGCATGGATAGATTCATTGGAGTCTGTCATGACCCAATGATTTGAGAATGGTTATGTTAAAGAATATATGGGTAATAAAATGTAAACGTGATAGGAAGCAGGTTAAGTAAAATAAAGCAGGATTGCAATTGTGTGTTTGGATGTTTGGATGAGTAATAAAAAGGTTGAAGTGCCAGCCTAATAAATGACTGCACATTGAGAGGAAGAACTGACAGGCTGAAGAATGCATTGGGTGAGATAGCCCAATGATAACCCTGAGGGCACACCGGAATCCACCCACAACTGCCCCAATGACGGGGGGGCCGAAGAACCGAAGAATAAGATAACAAGAATTGCCGTGCCATCTGCGTGATTGACCATCACTTCAAACGTGAGAACAGCATGATGAAGCAAACCCTATAGACCTGAATGAGGACAAATCCTTATAAAAACAGGCCCTGAAGACTGAGAACTCTGGGTCTGATTCTGCAACTAACCTCCAGGAACATCAGATGCACATCTGACAAGGCCCTGCTCCCTCCTCGTGTCTTGGCCACCTGGCCAGTGACTTGGCATGAGCAACCTCCAAGATGGTAACTATAACAACCTTGCAGAACTCTGTGTGCATGAGTGAATGAATGTGTGAGAGAGTGAAATGTTACAGCTATAACTGATTGCTTACTTTAATTCTTTCTGTATTCACAATAAACATGGCGTATTGCCTTATCCCCTAAATAAGATCCTGCTGGTTTTTATTTTCTAAGTATAACATCAGGCTGGGACAGTCCCATTCCTGGGTTCTTTGCTCTTCCATGGCTGGATCTGTCAATTGCTAATGGGAGGAGAAATGAGGGGGGGCTGTTTGTGCAGAGTCACTATAATGCCAGACCCCAACACTTTCCCTGAGGTCTCTTTCAGTTACCTGGAGTCTGTGGCTCAGAATTTAGTATTAACAGGGTCCAGGGCTGCCCTAGGGCGCTAGCACATCAGAACCACCCCCGAAATCCCAAACCTCCAGAACCCACCAACCTAACCTGCCACCCAGCCACCCAGAGGTACCCCCTGCCCAGCCACCCAGAGGCCTCCCCCTACCACAATGCCCCTTCAGCTCCAGCTGCAATCTCCCCACACAGACACCACCTCCCCCCCAGCAACAATGTTACCTCACAGTGTCTGATGAGTGGATAGAAAGTTATCACCACCCCGTGCTGGCCAGTCACATAGGCAGAGGGAGCCCTGCGGGATGCTTCTTTAACAGGAGAATGGAAGGCCTGGAGGGACAAAATAGGTAAGAAATTTCCATGCCCTGTCCCTAGCAAATAATGGCCACCATGTATCCACCCCAGACGTGGCTACATCTTAGCACTGTGAGAAGCAACCCTGCACAGAGACCATTTGTCATGGGGTTTGGGAAACTTCTGGACCCACACTGCACTCAGAGCGACATCCTCATCCTGTGCCAGTTGGAGAAAAGAAAAGGGTCCAGCCAACTCTCCTGTAACCAGCTGGGAACCACTGATCCCCCAAACAGTGGGGGCCTCTGGCTTTGATGTGTATTAAAGATGTGGATGGTCTCTTTCATCGGCAAACATTTTAACAGAGATAAAGGGGGGAACAAATTATTCTCAAAGGAGAGGGGCAAGATGATCACTGGGCAATTTAACCCCCTGCAACCTCCAGGATGGACAGAACCCCAGACCAGCAGCGGGCTGAGCGGGCCAGCGGCCGGGACCCCGCCTGGCAGGGGCCAGTGGATGGAACTCCAGAGCGGCAGTGGGCTCACTGAGCCGCTCAGCCCACAGCCGGTCTGGGGTTCCATCTGCCGCCCCTGCCAGCCGGAGTCCCGGTCCCCGGCCCTGCTCAGCCCGCTGCCAGTCTAGGGTTCTGTCTGCTGGCCCCTGTAAATGTAAAATGTATGACTGGCACGCCAAAGCTTAAATTATAGTAAATAAATGAAGACTTGGCACACCACTTCTAAAAGGTTGCTGACCCCTGGTTTAGGGTATTTTATATCAATCTTTGAGATTTGCAGAGAAAACGTGTCACAAACTACGCAATTGATAACATGAGAGAGAAGCACCAAGATCTGAGGGGATTTTATATTGCTGTTATTATTAGATATTATTATGATATCTGAGGGGATTGCTTGACTGGATTTTATATGACTGTCCAAAACATAAACAGAAAGTGATGGTTCCCCCCACTGCCACCATTCACATGGGCAGCAGGGAGCCCTTTGAGGAGCTGATTTAAGAGGGCAAGGGAGGGGGAGCCAGAAGGCTCCCTGGGTGAGGGAAGGGGGCAACAATGGGGGATGGGCAGGTGACTGGCAACTGATGGCTGTGGGCAACTGTGTTGATAGTTTGGGGGCAGCAAGTGGAATTGGGAAACCGAGGTCTGGGCAGTCCCCATGGGGGACACTTGCTCCTCCCTTCCCTGTATCTCATCCCATCCCCATTCCAGGGGCAGCCATGCTTTGGGGAATAATTTCCCACCTAAATAAGGACAAATCGCGGAAGATAAAATGGGTGGGGTAGCCCCCCACAGCTGAGAAGATTTTAAATTGACATTTGAGAAGCATGGAGAGAACAGGGGGAAATCGGGGGAGACTAGAGAGCTGATCATTTGGGGGGAATCACCCTGGATTTTATAGCCACGTATGATACTGAGAGAGAAAAGGGGGAAAACTTGAGAGAATTTGTATCCGTATGTGGGAGGAAGAGAGAAAGGATCCGATTAACTCACCTCCCCCCAGGAATTTCCGGGCTGCACAGAAACAGTTCAACTACCCCTCCCCCCGTCCCACTGAACTTCCCCCTCCCTGCAACTCCGGCTTCCCCCTTCCCTTCCCGACACCTCCCCCCACACGAAAGGGGAACCCCCCCTCACCCCGATCCCAGCGGTGCCGGGGGCAGATCCTGCTGCAGCTCCACTGAGGCTGAGGCAGCTCCGAGGCTTCTCCCAGGTTCCCCGGGGCGGAGAGTCACTTTCCTGCCCGGCCCCAGCGCCCCCCCGGGGTCTGTCACTCACCGGGGGCTCCGGCCCGGGGCTGCCCAGGGGGCGGGTCCCAGCTGGAGAAAGCCCCTCCCCCCGGCCGGGCACGGAGGGGTTAATGCCGGGCTCTCCCCGCACAGACCCCGGGGAGCAGCAGCTGCTCAGCCCGAGCCCCGGATCACACGGAGGAAGCAGCAGCGTCTGGTCCG